TCACATATATTATAGAGGGCACATTCCTAAGTAACACGCACTCAATAAGTAAGAATATCAAAACAAATCAAAACAAATCAGTGTTTCGGAATGTAATGAATGTTTGTATATAACACGTATCTACATCACCAGTCTCAGTATGTCATATAGTCGTGTATCAGTCAGTTGGATAATTTCAAGATTTCCTTAATTTTCAACATGCATTTGCACGAATTTATCAATTTGACATACAATTTTAATTCTTTGTGGAATTTTTTGTGTGAGAAGAAAGTTGTTCGTGGCGAAATAACGTGTCCAAGATGTGAAAATGTATTAGTACTAAACACATTCAATAAATAATATTTTAGTAATTACCTTTTTAATAAAAACGTCACTTTTACCATCGAATACGTATGAGGCATGATTGTACTAGTTTATTCCACGAAAGCATTCAGCGAACTAACAATTATTTGGTACGAATGTACGGAGCTTTGTTTACAATGCAAACACAAGCCTGTCAATGACCTAAGATCTTCAAAACAAAAGTAAATCAAGCGACGCGGTTGCGGCGCGACGCCAAGTATATGAAAAAACGATTTGCCTATGCACAAGGGTTTGCCTATGCACAGGGGCCGCGACGCTACCAAGTAGCTTATCCGGAGTTTTTACTTTTAATAAACTTTCGATTAAAATACCTCAGGAACTAAAGTCGTAACGCAAAGCGATTTTGTCCCTCAAGGCGCGTTCATATCGCTCATGTACGATTATTCTTTCGTGTATTACTCTTTTATAAAATTATAATTTTAAAAATTTATAATAAATGAGAGAGAGAGAGAGAGAAGAGGGAGAGAGAGAGAGAGGTGGGAGAGAGGGAGGGAGGGAGGGAGAGGAAGGGGGATAGGGGGGAGAGAGAGAGAGAGCGGAGAGAGCGGAGAGAGACAGAGAGAGAGAGAGAGAGAGAGCGGAGAGAGAGAGAGGGAGAGAGGGAGAGAGTGGGAGAGAGGGAGAGAGAGAGAAAGCGGGAGAGAGAGAGAGAGCGAGAGGGAGGGTGTGAGAAAGAGAGGGGGAAGTGGGAGAGGGGGGAGCGGCAGAGAAAGCGGCAGAGAGAGAGAAAGCGAATATGTGTATATGTACACTCCATTACACCACATGATCATACCGCCAAATAAGTAAACAAAGACGCGTGTCGGTATGCGCCATATATAGCGCTATTATATTGTGTATGAAATGTCTCACTTTGTTGTCATTCATACAGTTATAGCGAGTAGGCAACAGCTCCATGTGTCGTTATACACGATCGCGAAAATTATTAAAAGATATCTGAAACTCGATCTCTATAATAATTAATAATTAAGGATTCACAAGCGATTGCTATTTGTCGAAGCAGATATTAACTTCGTGTGATTTATTGTTATATATGTCGTTATATACAATCACGAAAATTATTAGAAGATATCTGACACTCGATCTCTATAACAATTAAAAATTAACGATTCATAAGCAATTGCTATTTATCAAAGCAGATATTAATTTCGTGTGATTTATTGTTATACTAATATACTAATATAAAGTAAGAATAATTACAAAAAGCAATTATTTTTTAGATATATACTTGGCGTATTTTTTTTACCTTTGTGAGGTTTTTTGTAGTGTAGAAACATTTCGAAATTATTCGTTCCTATAGTTCATAACTTCAGAAGTCAATATCTCTTGAACGAAGCGTTTGCGAGCATACTTCCAGAGGAAAATTTTTTCTTGTTTTAAGGTCCTAAATTCATATTTCAAGTTTGGCCATTTAACCCGGGAACACCCTGTATAGTGTTTTCCATCAACTGCTCCGATGGATACACACACAATTTGGAAAATTTCAAATATTATTAAATCCCTCTGCGATTCTTATTCATTCATTCTCTTCTTGTGGACACTGAAAATATGTCGGTTGCAATATTTCCCAAATAGCATTACATATTTCGGGAATAATACTGTATATGGTTGATTTACCTATTCGAAAAAACAAACATGTAGCGGTCACGCTATTACCATGAGGTAGAAAACTGAAAATAATTTGAAAATTATAATAATAGTTCATATAATTTACAGAATAAATAAAATATAAATAAGTCACTATTAAATATAATAGCAATAAAGAACAATCATTAAACTAACCTTAACGTCACAGCAACAAGTATCTCTGTTGGCAATGGTTTTCCCCGACTTCTTGTTTTAAACATTTTAAAAGATCATGTAAATAATCAAACTGTTGCATCGACATCTTCGTCAAGTTATAAAATTCTTCATATGATCATTTGTTCGAAAATACATAAATAATTTCCGAAAAGCGCCAAGTTTTTGTCTGATATCCGCAATAAAGTGAGGTTTTACTTACCATCTCACTATTTTACGTTTTCTTCTCAATATTAGTCTTATTTTTATAATTTGTGTCCGAATCAATAGAAAATCTAAATAAATTTCCAAAGTTTCAATATCCGTTACTCATAATCTCAATTAATGCGATATTCGATTGCGACATACGACGTATTGTAGAATGGGCCTAAGCCAAATCATTTTTATCTTGATTTTCTTGCCTTGATCGATAAGGATCATTAATTCTTGCGTTGGTTTCTTAGTGGATATCATTTCTATAAAGATTTTTATAAAGATTTCTATAAACAAAAATTGCGAGCGAAAAGGATTTGTAATCACCGCAATCGATGAATTCGGAAGCTTTTGGCTTGGACGGCAGATTTCTTCTTTGCAATAGATATAAGTAAAATCAATTTAACCCTAGCAAAAGTTTGTGTCACACACACACTCACGTGCACACGCACACGCGCACACGCGACATCTTTCACCTACCCCTGAACTTTCCCTCACATGATCCTCTAGACTCTAGAATTTGAATTCCCCCCAAGATCTCTCTCTCTCTCTATCTCTCATCTTCACATATAATTAATGAAGCCTCTTCTTTCCCCCCTTCCCCTTTCATACCAGAACCGCCAGTTCCTACTCCCGAATATTCATCAACAGATGTCAATAAATATATCGATGAATACCTCGACCGGTTCCTCTATCTTCCCTTTTCTACCTAAATAGGAGAACTTTCACTACACCATCCCCTCATATCCGTTCATTCATAAACAAAAATGTATCACAGAATTATGTAAACATTCGCAAATTATATAAAACATCTTATATTTCTATCTAATCTTTGATATTCATTTATTTAAAAAATTTTGTATCTTTTTTCATCTATTATGATTTAATAAATTTTGTTTTTAGTATAATAAACATTTTTTTTATTTAGCCCTTTCATCATTCCTTATTCAAAATCGCACTCAGTCCCATTCCAGGTAATAAGAATTAAGTTTCTTTATCTAAAAGAGGATCGCCAAGCGAAGATCCGAAGTAATTAACTACCTTTCTGGTTGCTGATCTGTTTTTCGGGCCTGACGATTCGCTCGATCCGAGGCAAACGCCTCTGAGGCACCTGTCTCTCAGAAAAAATAAGTGTTTATGTTTATCCTTTGACCATCCATCTTGGTCTGGAAAATAACAAGCGCCTATTCTTTATGAATTTTTTTGTTTACATATACATATATATATATATATATGCATACATATGTCTCAATTATAGTTAAAAATTATATGTACAATTGACTATTATATGTTGAGAAATAATAACAGAATAACGGTTAATAAAGTGAATAAATATACAGTATATTAAAACACGAGTGCCTATTAGAAAAAGTGCCTTTTTAACTTCTTGCTTTCTTACTATCGATATTTCGTATGTCATCGTGATAGGCGTTATACGGTTGCTGTTACAGCCCGCGCCGAAAATCGAGCGGAGCCGAACGCTCCCGACCAACGTCGAGCGACTCCCGCCGAAACGCCGCGTCGTTTCCCCCACCGTCGGAAAAAAACGATGCGAATACCGTTAATTACCGGGTATAAAAAGACCGCCGAACTATATCTCGATAGCAGAACGGTACCTGAATCCGCTTGAGTAGTACGCATAAGAACTATCAGAAACCGATTTTTTGCAAACGCAAACGAATCGCTAGGTTGACGAGTTCGCAGCCTCCACCGAGCATTCTCGACATCCGGTCCGATTGCGAATCCTTTCAATCCGACCGAACCGAACGAGAGCGGAGTTTGCCGCTTTCCTTTAGAGTTCTCGAGCATACGGTCTGTCATCCGACCACTCTGGCCAGCCGGACCGTGGGACAGCGAGTTCGCTGCCTCCGCCGAGGTTTCTCGGGTCCGCTGGCCATCCTCTAGATCCGCGCACGAAACAGGGACAGAGAGTTTTCCGCCCCGATCGGGATTTCCCGATTTCCGGACGCAATTCCCGAACATCTGGGAATACGCGCCGCATCATTATACACCTACGTCCATTAAGGTGCCATTACATGGCAGCATCGAGCGTCGAGCGTCTGCGTCTGCACAGAACTCATTACGCAAGAATCTGAATGAGATAGATTCCAGCTTCATGCGGCTAATAGCATGATGAGTGATATGAATTCTTATATATGTATATTCTATTCTATTGAAAGTTGCTTTTAAAGTTCGTAATTTGTGTATGAGTTGATAATATTTGTTTAACATAGGTTGCACGCAAAACATAAAACATACTATAATATGTTTTTTGGCGACAATGTTACTTTTCAAATTAACTTTTCCTGAAACTTTGTCGTATTAAATAAAAGCGTGCTCACGCAGTGGCTTTTTCAAATATAATTTCCTAAACTATTCCAGAAAATATCTTTAGTGTATATGTATACAAATCATTTATTCTTGTTACCCAAATTCATACTAATAGTAATAAAATGTTATATAGCTTGTATTGTATAAATTGAGAAATACTATTCAAGAAAATGAAATTCTTCTTTAAAAGGATGAAATTTAAAATACAAAATTTTACACCAATAAAAATACTTGCTTCAAGAACTTTATATCTTAGAACTTAAAGCAAATTTTTGTAATAAATTAATAACGGATAATAGTCCGTTATTACTTACTTTGATTCATCCTGATCATCGTCGTCGTCTTCGGAATCAAAAAAAGCATCATCGTCGTCGGAATCAATTGAAACTTCGGTCTTCATTCGTCGTTGTTGAATTGCATGAGACTTTGGAATCACTATATCCCTAAAAACAGATTTATATAATTTATAATGAATTACGCTTAGTATAAAAAATATAATAATTGATTTCAGAAGAGCAATCCAACTTTATTATTTGGCAAAATTCTTAGATTCATGATATTTCAAGAATCAAGATACACACACACAAACATTAGCGTCTCGCATCAAGTCACGCTTAACAACAGCAAGACATCCCATGTATTTATACGCGAGCCGATTGAGTATCTTAGATTATTTATTAGATCTCAATAACGGTTGAAACGATCGAGTTCTTATTAGGTGTACAACTTTGCTTCCGCCGTTTTTTTTCCGAAATTCGAGGCTTTATTGTAAAAAACTGGTTATACATTTATAATTCAAAGTATTGTCCATCGGTGGCCACTTTCTCCCATCTTTCGGGCAGCGTACGAATCCCGCGTTGACACCATGAGTATTTGAGAGCATTCGATGAGCCTCAGCCGCAGATTTCTTCATATGGAAGCAGAAAATTAAAACCTCCCGCAAATGACGAGAATTTGGCTCGTAAACTGACATTTTCAATCGAGAATAACTTTATGATGCAGACACAAATCGACTAATGTTTCTATGTGGTTATGTTGACAGATGCCCAAGTTTATTGCATGACGTCTATGATCTATTTATTTCGACCACTACTTACCGCTAAAGAATCTATAGGAAAACGGCGGAAGCAAAGTTGTACACTTAATAATAGGCTTATTCGATAATTTGAATTTCAATTATATCAGAAAAGTGTCCTTATTTTCGTTCTATGTATTGTGTAAGAGAGAGCAAAGATATTACAATGGAATCCAAAAGCGATGGCCGTACGGGATAGCGCCCTCATTAAGCGTAATTAAAATTGCCTATAATACCGACAATTTTTTCCGCCATTACCTATGCATGATTTATACATATTACAAGGAACAACTCCGAATTGTGTTCAACATGTTGAAATCAGACAATTCGTTATTCCTACTTCTCTATCATCTCGCACGCAAATCTAAGCATATAGATAACAGCAAAACACAGATGTATATCTGCTTTATGCAATATATATATTATATATACATATATATCGTTTCGTTCAAAGCAAGAGGGATGATCAAAGGAAGGGCGCAATTTAAACTATAGTTTAAAAGATAAAAAAATTAAGAACTAAAGTTTTCCCGAGAGACAAGTGGTTAGCATAAAAAAAATAATTGTTTTTAAGGAAAAGTATGTAATTATTTACAATGTATTTTTTAAAAAAAAATTTTTTTTTTCTTTATACTAATTGATTTGTCTTATTATTCTGTACATATAAGTATTACGGTAAGATTATCGAAAACTAAATATTTTACGAGATATTTTATTCTTTATATCAAAATATGTCAGATTAAAATATAAAATAACTCAAAATACCCTGTATATACAGTGGAGTGCAAAAGTTTCCGGCCACTGACATTTTGTACTCTAGTTTATTTAAAAAAAGCCTAATGAAATTTTAATCATTATTAGGTGCGAGTATAACATATAGGAAACAAAATAATATAGTGAAAGAATATTGTTTATGTTCGTGAAAGTATTTATAGTTATAATTGTTATATTTACATGTGCAAAAGTTTCCGGCCACATAATATATTTGACCCGCAATAGGACTTCAAAGAGTTGTTTATGAATAGTTTCATGTTGAATGTTTATACTTAGTTTATAGGAAATCGTCGAAGCATAAATATGGCTCGGCATACGCAAATCCAAATTCGTGAGAGAGTAATTAAATTTTTAAAAGAAGGAAAGTCTTCTCGTGAGATTGCTTCACTATTATCGATAGGTAAATCAACCGTGAATGATATTATTGTTAAGTACCGTGCTGGATATGGTTTAAAAGATCGTCCGATAATATATAATATATATAATATATGTAGTAGTTCTCTCTATTCAATGTGAGGAATCCGAAGCACCAGGCGATGGGGATAGACATTACTTTGCACGGAAATTTGCAAATTCATTTTCCGCGCAAAGCAATGTCTATCAAAGATCTACCCCCTATCGCCTGGTGCTTTAGATGCAAAACTAGGTCTATAATTATATTGTTTCACATGAGTTTTCAACTTTCCGCGCAAAACGAGGTAGAACCCAAACCTATGACTACTGTTACACGTCACCCGTAATCGGATTTGATAACGTTCGTAATTATAAAACTAGCCAATCACAGCTATTCCTCTAAAAAATGGAATGACTGTGATTGGCCAGCCGTAGAATTACGGATGTTATTAAACCCGATTAGGGGAGTCTATATGGGAGCGGTGCACTTGGACACAGTACAATTCGACACGGTACAATTGGACACGGTGCAAAAGGACACGTTGCAAATGGACACGAAACTTTGCACACGGTTCAATTGGACACAGTGCATTTGGACACAATAATTTTGGACACAGTAGCTTTTGGACACAGAAGAAAATTCATTTGGACACCGTTCAGTAGCACACCAGTCAGTTGCACATCGTTCAGTTGTACACATAAAAATGCATAGTGGTCCTCGTAACGGTCGCCACGATTTTTAAGGCAGTTACAATAATCTGACATAAAAAAGTCATAAACAGAAATTTATCAGTTTCTAACCGGCAATAAATTGCAATAATTGTTTTTAAGAAAAAGTATGTAATTATTTATAATGTATTTTTTTAAACAATTATTCGTTTTTTTTTAAACTAATTGATTGTGATGGTCTCTTCGAGTCCTCTTTTTATTATTCTCTTTTCAGGGGTGTATTCTAATTCTAAGAGTGGGAATCTTCCAAAACTTCACCGAATTGAAATTGCTCAGAAGTGGGGATTTTTCACTCTAACGAATTAAAAATTGTGCTAGTGTCCTCCTTAGAAGGATGTTTCTCCTACTTTTCGAGTTTTTACCCGTGGTGATCGTCCATTGGTGAGCTCGATATCCGTTTGAAGGTTCCTTGCACGTGATCAGATTAGAAAAGGTCCTATTTTCTTATGATCATTTTTATTGCTATCGATGCAGCTGTGTTTATTGAATATTTCGTTGGAAATTTTTATTATTATTGATGCAGCTGTGTTTGTTGGGTATTTCATTAGAAAATTTTATATTATCTTGTCGATGTCTCTTTATTCTTCCGCCGGCAAATTCTACTATGGCTGCATTCGGGGAGACGCTATTAACGCTATAAACGTAAACGCTACAAACTTTGTTCGGGGAGCCAATAGCGCGATAGCGATAGTAAGCTCCTCAAACGCAGCCGAGTAAAATTCGCAACATGGCCGACGTTGGTGCAAATATAAACGATAAAGCAATAAATGTTTATGTTTATATTTATGGTTATGCCTGCGCAATCAAGTGTTCGAGCATGTTCGAGGAGAGAATAAGCGCCAATCAGTGCTAATAGCATCTCGTGCCTCACCTCGAAAATAATAGCGAGAAATAACTCGAATGATGACGTCACGCTGCTTTTAGAGTGACGTCATCATCGATTTCATAGCGCCAGAAAGTGTCTTCTCGAACGGTCTCCGACGATAATTGCGTCAATAGCGTGCTCCCCGAATGCAGCCTAAGGGATATCTATTGATTTTTATTTATCTTGAGGAGACCGGCATGGTTTCATCACCGATCTTTTTGCGTCGGTCTGTTTACTGAACGATTCGCTTGTCTCACCAATCGACGATCATTGCCGCCACTTCGCGGAAGGAAGGAAGCGTGGAGTCGGCAGGACGTAACAGTGTCAAATCGTGAAATGTTGTGTCAGCCAAACTGAAACAATGTAATTGAAGCATTATATATATATATATGATCGATATCGATGCAAGAATCGAGTCGTCGTGCACTTTTTCTATATAGAGCATCTGTTTTGGTAAATGCAGCATTGCATTCGGTACATATTAGAGAGTATATCATATTAGTTTTGATCGGCACTTTATACGCCGGAATATACAACCGCCGTTTTTGTTACTTTCTTTGTATTGGGGCAAACCGGGTACTTACACATCTCATATAATGAAAAGAGGAAGAACTGTTATCCTGACTTTGTGTCCCTACAAAAAGCAGTTGGAAACAAAAACTAACGCTCAGAAAAAGAAACCACTAAAGAAAAGCTTTTTGAGACTTCTAAAATTAAAAAGTTAAATAAGGAAGTCTTGCAGCAATATCGAACAAGAGGATATCTTTATTTGTGATTTTTGTCAATAGAACACATCTTTATAATGTATCTCTATAATACATCTTTATATTGTATTTTGATTAAAATAAATCTAGATTTTGCAATTACACGGTGTTTTGCATATTTTAAAATGGGTACCCGGTTTGACCCTACCGGTAAGACAAAACCGGGTACTTTGACGTCTCCACAAAATCTTGTGATTCTTGGTAACCAAAAATTTTTTTTTCAACTACTAGCCTTATTTTCTCATAGTTTAAGGTTCACTAAAGACTACTAACGATCGGCAAAATTTTTTTTTACTCTCAGATTTTTTGTAGGAAGACAAATCCAAAAAAGTACCCGGTTTTATCCTACTTTCCTCTATATATTGTTGCGTCCGCGGATCGAAATCGATATTACTTGAACACGCGCGACACAACCGGCACTCGCGTACCACGATATAAATAAAGAACGCTTATTAAAAAGAACAAGAGGAACTTTAATAACAGCAATAACACAGAACACAAAGCACAGAACAATAGTCTCGTAATCCGTCAAACCGTCCGTTCGGAATCGCATCCGTCGCGAGACTCCAAGATGGTCGATCTCACTCAAGATGTCCGCCGTTGTTTAACAACAACCCTTAGCAACGTGTTTGGGGATGATCTCTTAGAGACGGGAGCAACTCCAGGATTAACTACCATAGACAACTCGCAGAGACGAAGTACACAGGGACGGGCGTAACACTGCCCCCTCTCTCCTCAAGATTGTCGTCCCGACAATCAGTGAACGACTAGTCTATGTTGAATGGGTTGACTGTAGTTCTCTTCTTCCAAAGCGAAGACTCTAGGGTGCCACAATGACTCCTTGCTTTACCCT